TTTTGCTCTATAACTTTTTGCCATAATTAAGCTAATGCCAGTATGCGGCTGTCATAGACAACCTTTACCTTATTGGCAAAAATTTCCCACAATCGGTTTTCAAGGCTTCAAGGCTTCTCCATCACCAGTCAAATTATTCGCCGTAGATAGGACCGGACTATGAGGTAGTTGCATAAGAACCTTCCAATCAACCACTCGGAATTTCTGGCGAATGCCTATCGATGTGTGTGGTCTAGCGTTGTCCTGATGAAACACAGTTCCCCTCCAGTTAGACAAAGCTGGACGCTTATGGGTTATTGCTTTATTCAGATCGGTCTAATTGCTGACAGTACAGGTTCTAATTGTAATAAAGTAACTCATAGTGGATTCACGCTTGCCAATATTATCAAACGCACAACAAAAACTTTCGACTTACTGCCCTTCGTGCGTTTGACGTTACGGTAAGTGCTCCTCATGCAGGTAAGAGTGCTGAAGGCATCGTCGTCAAGGCTTGGGGCGCAATGGAGAACCAGTAGTAAGCGTGGACCACACTCTATGTGTATTAAGACCTGAACAGGACTTAAGATGACTCCTGACGCTAATTGCATCTAACCAAAATGGAGAAATAGTGTAGTCGTATGTGGCAAACGCAACAGAAGAAGTAATACATTGGATCAGGGTTGGGTTCGACCCCAGCCCTAGTGTGAAGGATTTGGGGCAACCCAGCTACGAGGTGTTCATCTGTTTCTGTACTTAGACTAATATTACCTGCTGACCTAACCGAGATAGGTCGTCGAAAGAGTGATAGTCCTTGGCCTGATAAGATGCGGTTGGCCCGGTGTTTCCTCATTATGTCATCGAGCTTCTTTGTGTGTCCAGCTTTTTGGATTGGTTCAAAACTATTTTTTGGGCAATGTTTAGTTCCTCGACAATCAAAACAATGCTCGTATGACGGTCAGACTCAGCGATTTCCATTATCCTATCAACATTTTCGCCAATTGGGCTTCCACACCATGGATCATATTTTATATATCAACTATAGGAACGAAATCGATTTCAGTACGAAATATCATTATTCTAACGTCATCTACCGTAATACAGTTGCACATAGACTGAGCTTACATGAGGATAATTTTTGTCGACAAAACACTCGTTTGTATGGGAGAGGGCGATGACGAAGAGGGCAGCGTACCGTGTCGCTTGCGATTGTTCAATACGTTCCTCTCTGTAGATTTTGGCATTCCCGCTTTTCTTTTGTAGCAGAGAACTTGGAACTGATTGTAGCTGTCTTAAACATACATATATGTGCATATACATACGTATATGCATACATATATGGCCTATGTGTATATGTACATATCTAATTCTTAATATTCTAGAAGATAAAATTGAATAAATACAAGAAATATTAGAATGTTTTAAGAAAGAAAGGACGAAGAAGAAGCAAAACATTTCTAGAAGAAAGTATCTCTGTGTGAACCTGAAGGTCGACACCAAATGGGAAATAACCATAAGAAACAACAAAAAGTATCCACATGTAAACTCACAGCTATAGGAAGCCTTCGATTCCAAAAATAACGGATTCCTATATTGACCAAAATAATATAAATTTAATTAATATATTTCTCTATGAATTTCAGATAAGAAATAATAGATAAAATATTTAACAAATATCGAATTTCGATTAGATAAAATATTTTTTTAAATGTTCTTGCTAAAATATAAAAGGAAAAAACAATTGGTTAAAAAATAAAAATTAAACTAAATAAAATAATTTCTAAATTTTATACATTTCCTTTGTGAAATAAAAGTGAACTTACGATTGTTAAAAAAATAAAATTTATTTAATAAACAAATTTAATAACAAAGATATAAATAAATAAATATGGGTGACGCAGAGGCGGTAAGTAAACAAAAAATAATAATTTGTATATTAATAATGATAAAACATCTTTTAACTTCTCACATGAACATTTCTTTGTACATACAAGGATGGTGTCCCGTGTTTATACCCCAATTGATGTGTCTCTCCGTAGCGGAGCTACTTACTGTCTATGCCGGCAGAAAGTAATAATCTGAAACAGTTACACTATTACTTCGAATACTGCTAAAAGCTCTAAAGCAGTCAATGATGGAAGCTTCGCCTTAGCTGTCTGGTCACGTTACACATGATCTCGTTCAACCATGGTGAGTCAGCTTCCCTGGTGAAGGCCAGTTTAAGCATGTACTTAGCCGTGGACAAAGGTAAACCAGCCATATGTGCGTGTTTTATCGTAGATAGAAGATTTCCTTTTCTTGCTAGTTCGTCTGCCATGCAATTGCCTGGGAGGTGTTTCTACAGTTTATGGCAACTTATGACATGATACCGTTACATTGAAGAGATCTGATTGCTGCCTGACTATCGAAGTAGATTGTTACTGATTGTCCTGCTGCCGTAGATTTGAGCAGCCATTCCGCGGCCTCCACGATTGCGAAGAAACTCGCCTGGAAAACGCTGCAATGATCCGGTATCCTCATGCTCATGCTTACCGAAAGCGCGGGAGAAAAAATTCCACAACTCATCCTCCCATCGAGCTTCGAGCTGTCTGTGAAGATGGCTATTGCTCCCTGGTCGGGAGCGTTGGTGTTTCCCCACTTGCATTTGTTTGGAATGCTTGTGGAGAAACGATTATCGAAGCATACCCTGGAACTGGTGTAGTCTAGCTTCTTCGGCACTTCTGTAAGAGATAATATTGTTGCGTGTCCTATACTACAATTCTTCCAAGGTTGAGTTGCATTCAATCTTATTGCGTTGCAACCCGCTTTTTTTTAAGGTACTTAAGATTTTGGGATATTCACAGAAATACGGGGCTTGGAAGACAGTTTTGGTCTCTCGCTAGCACCATGCGTGTTTGGTTTTGCAGTTAAGTTTGACAGATGTCAAAATACAGCGCTGTACTCTTCAAACCTCGAAATGGCTAACCCTATGGAGGTAAACCAAGAGCATGGAATTGAGACGAGACGAAGCTCGCCAGGTCCGCAAGTCTATTTATAAGCATTCCAATTTCGTATTTCGCGCTATTTCCCCATCATGAAATGTTAACCCTTTTACTGTGAAAATTATTTGCATTTGCATTTGCATTGTCGCCATGCAAATGTTGTGTACGAAAATCTGTTATTCAAATGAGGTTGTAAGCGGCGGTTGTAAGTAAATAATAAAAATAATACTTTCGATATTTATTGGCATGATGACCTTGTTAAGGCAGACGTTGATTTATAGTGACATAGGGTTAAGAAATATTTACATACAAACAACAACAAACAATAATGTCACCGCATTCACGGCAGGACTAAGCGAGTAACTATTTTGAGGCAATGCAAATATATTCTAATTTGTGTATTGAGAAATACATTTTGCATTCAACAAATGACGGTAAAACTCGTTTAGAATGAGAGAAATATGTATGTATGTATGTATGCACATATGTACTTATGGCATTGTGTTGTTGTGCAGGAATATAAAGGTAGGAATTTGTTGAATCAATAAGCGATTTGTAGCCATTCGTTCAGCTCTGATTACAACCGAAATTCATTATTCAGGTCAAATCTCCTACCCGCTTTGCGGTAATGTTGCGCAAAAGGCAGGGGCGGGTGGGAGAATACCGCGAAATACGATACCATTAAAATATAAACAAATTCGTTAAAGTTAATACCGAGCAAATGCGAGTAGACAGCTGAATATATTTACATATATTTATTGTTGTGCACACATATTGACAAACGCAAGCTTATATTACGCTACTTTTACACGATAACCTAGTTCAAAGAGAATTCACTGCGGTTGGTTGTGCTTAACCACCGCCTCCTCCTTCGTCCTTTGTATGTACAAAAAGATGTTGCGAAGAAGTCTTAGTTGTTATTTTGTAATTAACTAAATTCTAAACAAACACATATGTAGATGCGCCCACCAGTCGGTGGACCACGTCCTCCCTACCCCGGCGCAGGGATGCCACCTCGTCCACTTGCAGCAGCACCACCACCCCGTCCACCCATGAATATGGCTGGCGGACCGCCACCAAGACCAATGCCACCGCCTTTACGCAACACAGACAGCAGAGGAAACTTGCTAATGGGTCCCGGTGGACAACGACCACCACCGCCACCATTACAAAATGTGCAAATTCGTCCACCTGTTGGTAATGGTGGTCCAATGAGTCCAACCGGGCAGGGTCCAGCACGTCCGCCTGGTGCGTATCCTTGGTCTGGTGCACAATCACAACCACAAATGCCTGGTGGTCGTCCTCAAAATCCATATCCTGGTAATCAGCCCACACGCCCGCCGTTTGCACGTCCGCCTGGCGCTCCACAGGTGGGTGCACATCCACCACCGCAACGTCCACCCTATCAACAGCAACAACAGCAGCAGCAACAACACCAACCTCCACAACAACAAACTTATCAACCACAACATCAGCAATCAACCATACAACACCAACAGCAACAGCAGCAACAACAACATCAACTACCACCACGTCCAGCCTCAGCGAGCTCGAATAATAATGAAGACGATGATGATGTGGTGATGGGTCAAGCGATAACCCCACGCAAAACATTGAATTCAAACGAAGATCCAATGGGTCCGGCGTTGTCGGCGGAGAAAGAGAACGCCTTCAAGGATTCATTTGGTATGGGCGAGACACTCGCTCCCATAGCCGAGGGGAATACGAATGGTGTGAAGACATTGTTGAGTATAAATGAATTGTTGAGCAGCGGCAAAGAGAATGAGAAACAGCAGAAGAAGAGTGTTCACAGTAAGACTATGAAAAGAAAAAATATTTATGCGTACATACATATATATGTATGTATACTTATGTATATAGGTGAAGACAGCAACATTTTGCACATTTTATATAAAAAGTAAATATATTTTTTAATGATTTTCTGCAAGTATTGAAGCACACATTTACATACATATGTCATATATAATATATAAGTATATATATATATTTATGTAAGCGCTAAAACTTCACTTTTCTTTACAGAAGGTGACAATGACAGTGGCGTTGATGAATCAACTCAGGAGAAGGTGAGTAAATTTATTAGCCCACAAGGGTGCTCATTCCCTGATACTTATTATTTGAATGTTTAGTTTCCCTGCAGACAGATATATTGGTTATTAACTAGAATCCAACTAGTTTGCATTTTTCCTCCGACTAGTTCATCTTCCGAGGTGAATTATAATTTTTCAATGGGGGCTAGTTTCTATGTTGCGTATTCCAAACCCAGTGCACAATCTCGCCAGGCGAGTAAGTTTAAATTGTTTACAAATTTATATAGTAAGCGAGCCGCTTGCTGATCGACGACCGTTCCCAGCCGCTTCTCAGGTGAACAGACCCTGTTTAAGACATCAGCGAATCCTTACACCGAATATGTCGGAGTGACTTCACTGAAGCTTCCTCACTTTTAGCCGTAACCCAAGGCTCCACACGAGTTAATTACTGCATCCTGTACAAGGGTTGCTCACGTTCATGTCAGGGAGCACGACGTGGACGCAAGAGTAGGGACTGTAACTGCATACTCAAAAGATTGACGGCACCCAATGACTACTTCAATTTATAGCTGAAAAAATAATACGAGCTGCAGAGCGGATTCAGTGTTCTCTATGAGTGTATAGCTGCTGGCGTACGTCGATGACATTGACATCTTCGGTCCTAACAACCGTGCCGTGAGTTTTGCTTTCTGCAAAAACCGGTTAAGGAAGTTAAGGATATGGGTCTGGTCGGTAGTCTTAAAACAGAAAGTCATCGCAATCGCTACTCGGATCTCATGTCACTATTTAAAGTTAGAACTTTGAAGTCGTAGATAACTACATCTAACTTGGAACTTAAATTAACTCCAACAACGATATCAGGTGATACTTCGGACTGAATAGGCAATTCAAAAGTAAAGTCCTCTATCGACGTACGGAGACCATACTCAACTCAAAAACTCACTTTGCGTTCCCGTCCTTCTCTTTCCGTTGGAAAGATCAGGTAGAAAAGTACCTGGTTGAACTTTGTACTTCCGTTAGGCTCCAAACTGCGAAAAAAGTGGCCATATAAGCAAGTGGTATTTTTAACGCGCCGATCTGCTGTACCGCTAGATATTAGCCACCTTTAACATATCACTACTAAATTTTTGCGTACTGGTTTCGTCTTTTCTCTGCCGGATTATTATAGTATCTATGTATATAAATATGTTGTTTCAGTTAGAGGCACCGAAGGAATTTTAGGTGGTTTTGTACAATTTGTTCCAACATCAATTAAAAAATGTGATTTGAATTCATAATTTCACAATTGACCAAATCTTGAAAGAGACCCGTGAAAAGAGAACCACCTCTTCATTGATTTTAAAGCAGCCTTTGATAGTACGAGTAGGAGCTGTCTCTACGCCGCTATGTGTGAATTTTGTATCCCCGCAAAACTTATACGGCTGCGTAAACTTATGTAAAGCAACACCAAAATCTCCGTCAGGACCAGGAAGGACTTCTGCGAACCGTCTGCTTTCACCAGACTTGATGAAGAAGCGAAGCGAATGGGTCTGGTAGTCACTAAGAACTTCGAGGTCGTAGATAATTTCATCTATCTAGAAACCAGCAGCAACACCAACCACAAACTTATCCTGAAAATCCAACGCAGTATCACAGGTGCTACTTTGGACTGAGTAGACAATTTAAAAGTAAAGTCCTCTCTCGGCGAGCGAAAACCAAACTCTATATTCCGCTCTCATAGCCTTCCTACTATATGCCAAAGAAGCGTGAACGATGTCAACATCTGATGAGTCGACCGTGAGAGCCTTCGAGGTAAAATTTTTCGAGCGATTTATGGTCCTTTATGCATTGGCAACGACGAATACCGCAGACGATGGAACGATGAGCTCTACGAGCTGTACGATGATAATGAAATAATTCAGCGAATGAACAAAGTGGCTACGTTGGCTAGGTCATGTCGTCCGAATTGATGAAAGCACTCCAGCTTTGAAAGTATTCGATTTAGTGCCCGATGGTGGAAGCAGAGGAAAAGAAAGATCTTCACTACGTTGGAAGGATCAGTTGTGAGAGTGACCTGGCTTCGTTTGGTATTTCCAACTGGCGCCAGACAGCGAAAAGAAGAGAGGAATGAAATGAACGCGCTAATATTGTTTCGGCTAGCGGTGCTAACACCAATAAAGAATAAGAAGAAAAGTCAATAATTCGAGCAACCATGTATCGATTTCGCAGCACGTTAACTCTAGCGAATAATACGCATCCTGAGAGACGTCGTATCTGCGCACAGAAAACTTCATTACTGCTGTGGAGCAGAATATCGAAGATATTCCGAATGAATCTATCCGACATTTTGTGCAATAATTGGAGTTGTGCCCATCCGATTCATGGAAGATTTTTCTTCGTTGAAGTCAAACGACCATCAAAGTTCACCGTTCGATGAATGAAAACAAAGGGGAATAACCACCGATACCGATTTCACAAGAAAGTTGTATTCAACGTTCAGGTTCACTGTTGGTTGACTGCGTACGTTTAAAAACTGAATTGTTACATTTAGAGTGATGATAATTCACTAGCCGTCGCAGAGACGCCGTTACATCCTCAGAAAGCCACTGTTTGGCCTGTTTGGTGTGCTTCATTGGCAGAGGAAGCCAACCATAATCTTAGGGTCAATGAGTAATGCCATAGCGCAACGACTAAATATTTTTTTGATGTCTGAATTGGAGGACGTTGATGTAGAGCAGATTTGGTTCCCACAAGACATGCCCTACAACCAATGAAACAAACATTTTTTTTGAAGGAAACTTTTGGTGAGAGCATTATATCACTTGCCGGCTTGTGATGTGGTCTCCAAGATCATGCGATTTAACGCCGCTCGACTATTTTTTAAGGGGTTAAGCGAAATCGCTATACCCGAGACGGTTAACGCCTTGGAGGAGAAGATTCAGGGCGTTATTGCTAACCTACGGCGCCAATGACGCCAAAATGTGATCGAAAATTGGGCTTTTCGGCTGGGGTTTATAAGAGCCAATCGCGAAGGTCACTTGTACGAAATCATTCTTAAAACATAATGGCAAACTTTTATCTTTAAGTTAAATTCTTGGACATAACCTTAAATTACATGCATTTTAATTCCTTTTGAAAGCCAAATGTCTGAAGAAAACACCCTTCATTTCTTTGATTAGCGTGTCCTTTTAAGTTCCCGTTGAGGAGAAGACTTAGCGTTAAATAAATATATCTTCCCTCTTTGTGAGTTACATCTAAATGGCAATACTCAAGAGCAATTTGTTTTATGCCACGAATGAGTCACACTCTCTTTCCTCTCTAGTGAACAACTAAAACTGTTAGAAGCAACTCTTGCACCTTTCACCACATCAGTTCAATTACTTAGCAGAGCTTACAATTAGAGAACATGAGCTCAATGCGATCACCCAAAATTGTCTCAAAAGCTTGTCATCCAGCATGATGTTATTTACTACCAGACTCATTTTTTGAATTGCTTACTGGGCAATTGAACTAAGGAAACATTAACGGTTTTCAATTAATTTCTTTGCCTTTTTTAAATGTCACCATAAAAGGCAAACGGAATAACAACGAAAAATGGAATATAGATATTTGTGTATAATTGAGAAATGGAAATGTAAGAAAAGCGATTAAGATCCACAAATACATACATACAAATGAACACACAGGCATTTGAACGACCTACGCATATACATACATACACACATATGTGTGCATCCGCTATAAAGTTGGTTAAAAATTGTTTTGGAAAATGTATGTATACGTATGTATGCAAGTAAATATGACGAGTTGTATGCTACGCTTATGAAGCTAACTTTTAATGAACGTCAATGATTCTTCACTGATATTACAAAAAAAAAAGTAAAGAAAATGGCGCCACGCTTCACTAAGCGCACCCGCCCACATGCGACACATACCAGAAGCAGAAGTTAGTGTCAGCCTAATATGTGCATGTGGCTTAATGCATGTATGTATGTACATATGTGTATATGTGTGCATGTGCTCATCTATGTCTGGCTGACCTGCCGGCGATGTCTACTGGTGCTGCTGCTGCTGCTTGCTTATGGCCTAAAAATTAATAGCTGCACAATTTCACCAACTCAATTCGACAACTCAGTGCTCAACGAGCTATCTCAGCGTTAAAACTACAATAAATTGCTATTTGAAGAAAAATAAAATTATTTTCTTAACTACCGTGCAGTGTGTTTGGGAATATGTTTTAGTAGAAAAAACACAAAAAAAAAAAAAAAAAATATATATATATAAATATTTTATTGTGCAATATTTTGTATAGGCAATATTGCCCAAGGCTTATCGGCGCACTGTTAAAAAAAGGTGCCGTTAGAACAGGTGTGTAAGTTTCAACAGCTGTTGGTTTTGATATGAGGCTAGAGCCATGTAGAGCGTAGTTTATACAGTGAACTTAGACATGTGTATGCGTATGTAATGGAGAAAGTAAGGCAACTTTTTTGTTTTTACCTTGCCAATGACACGACAAGGATAACTTTGTTGCGCGCGAAGCAGCAGGAATTTCGAAGTCAAGAAACTTTTCGTCGCACAAAATAACTCACTTTGGCTTGCAACAAAAAAAAAAAAAAAAAATTAAATAAAACTACAACAACTCGCATAAAACAAAAAGCAAGTAATCAACCAAATCAACTTAGCTCATGAAGTATAATTTAGAACAAATGTTTATTGATGAGAACAGAATGAAACGAAACCAAACGTCGAAGAAGTGGCGCAAGGAGTGTCGGCAAGAGAGGGGAGTGCGAGAGTAGTAAAGGAACCCATAGAGCGCGCGCTAAAACCATCCTTGAAGCGCATCGCCAAGGGTGCGGGAATATTATTTATGTTTTTCGCATTATTTGTTGTACACTTTGCACATGTTGTTGTTTTTGTTCGTATGTTTTCATTTCTGTTTTTTCTGTTTTTTTTTGTTTTTTTTTTTTTTTTTTTTTTTTATTCTTTGCATGATATATTTTATACAACTGTCTTCTACAACTAAAAATACATATTACCAAAAGTGGTACACTCTTACCGTCGAATCGTCGAGTTGAATCGATAAAACAATGAGAATAGTGAAATTCCGGCAAAATCGCATTCGTCGTCCTTTGCAGTCATAATGCTCGAATTAGTCGAAATGTCGAAGTCGAAGTGTTCATAAACGGTGTAGAACAAAATAAATTGTTTAAATAAATAAGATTTGCAAAGCGACAGCGTTGAGTGCATATATAATTGAAATTATATAGAATTACTACAGCGAATCGTATTCAAATTAAAAGAAAAAATGCATTTGGTGATTACATTTACAGAAATAAACCCCTTTAACACATACATAAACAGACACATATGCAAAATATATATATATGTATATATCTACATATGTGCAAAAAGGAGAAAAGATAAAAACGCCCTAACTCCCTTTTGCCGCATTTGAATGTGCTTCCAAGTATTGCATTTCTTTTTTTCTAATTTATCTCTTTTCTTCACTTCCAGGAACGCAACGGACCAATTTCGCCCAGCTCTCCGGCTAAGACACCAACTTCTACCACTTCAAAGGGCGAGAAAACAGGCGCTTCTCGTCCACCTAGCGCCACACCATCAAATAAATCGTCCAAATCACGCTCGACATCACGAAATCGTTTGCTACTAAAAACTCCCGAACCGGAGACGGTAAAGAAAGGTAAGTGATTTGAAGGTTATATCAGGTCAAGAAAAAAAAAAAGAATTCATTTGCAATGGTTGGCCTTAGTAATCATATCTCGCCTACTACAAGTGCGATGGGATAACGTTAGATAGCGTTAGAAAGACGAAATATTTTTTACTTAGACAGATAATGGGAGGAGTAAAAATTACTTAACTCAGTAGACAAAAATGTCGTTAAAATAAAAGAAATCCTCGAACCCAACCTTCAACAATTTTTCTGGAGGTAAACATTGCACTAAAAACAGTTTCGAACCACTTGCAAAAGGCAGGATATGCAAAAAAGTCCTATGTAAGGCTTTCACATTAGTTGACAAGAAATAAACCTCATGAACCGAATTTTCTTGTGCGATTCCCTGCTGAATCATAACAAAATTGACCCATTCCTGAAGTAGATGGTGACTGGCGATGAAAAATGGGTCACTTACGGCAACATCGAGTGCAAACGGTCGTGGTCAAAGCTAGAGGAAAGCGGCCTAGACGGTGGCCAAGACCGGATTGGCGGTCAGGAAGGTTTTGCTGTGTATGTGGTGGGATTTGCAAGGAATCATCTACTACGAGCTGCTCCCCTATGGCCAAAAGCTCAAATTGGCCCTCTACTGCCAGCAAATGGACCGCTTGAAGGCAGCACACATCCAGAAGAGGCCATCTTTGATCAACAGAGGCCGAATTGTCTTCCATCAGGACAACGCCAGCCCACACATGTATTTGGTGAGGCACCAGAAGCTCCAGGAGCTCGGATGGGAATTCCGAATGCACTCACCTTATAGTCCGGACTTGGTATCAAGTGATTACCATATTTTTCTGTCCATGGCGAATGCGCTTAAAGGTGAGAAGTTGGCCTCAAGAAAGGCCTGTGAATATTCGCTCTCCGAGTTTTTTTTGCCAATAGGGACGCAGCCTTCTACGAGAGTAGTTTAATGAAGTTGGCATCTCGTTGGCAAAAAGTTTACGAACAAAACGGCGCATATTTGACCTAAATCCGACAAATGTACACAAAGTTATCATATTTTGAAAAATTAATAAAAAAAACCGAACGAACTTAAAAAACTAAAAACTAACAAACTAAACTTGTTAAATGGATTAAGTAATCTAATATTCCGATTTTAACTATGAATTTTTTTTTAAGCATCGTTATAATCTGCTCCTGTCGATAATTTTACTTGAAATTAAAAATTTTTTTATACACATGTATGTAAAGGGTGATTTTGCTACAGCTGTAGGAAAGTTTTTCTAAAAAAACACATAAAATTTAGAAAAATGCATGTAGTCTTTATTTGAAAAAAACACATAAAATTTAGAAAACTGCATGTAGTCTTTATTTGAATCGGTAGTACGGTCCATATAATTTAATGTTTAAAGATTATTTCATGCGAATGTTGACTGGACTGCGCCTCAAATGGTCCGTCCGTTTAGTCCAATATTGGCATACTCTTTCCAACATTTCGGTCAATATCTCACGAATAAATGCTTCAATGTTGTCCTGCAATGCGTCATTTGAAGCGGGTTTGTATGTATAGACATTAGATTTTACAAAAAATAGTCTAAAGGCGTTAAACCGCACGATCTAGCGCCCAATTGAGCGGTCTCGAACGTGAAATAAAATGTTCACCGAACTCGCTTTACAATAAGTCCATTGTTACGCGTGCTGTGTGACATGGGGAAAAAAGGTTTGATATCATCTCACGGTAGGGCTCAGCATTAACAGTTACGTTAGGATTCAGTTAGGATCATCTTTGAAGAAGTAATTTTTAATTTCGTTACACTAAATACTGTATTGATCTCGGAATATGTTGTACCAGGTTTTCTAATACGAGGTGTTATTTTAATATTCAAAGAAACGTCTCCCTTAAAGGATCGATGATTTCGTTGCTTGTGTAGAACGCAGAGCCGTCTTGTTGAAAGCAAACGTTGTCCAAATCAATACCAACCAATTTTGTTCATAAAAAATCAAAATCAGTCTAGATGATTTTTTGAGCAAATTTTAGATCATTTTCATTTATTTTTCGGCTTGAGTTCTTTTTTTAATTGAAATTTATAAGCAATGAGACCGAACACACGTTGTAATGTCTATTGTTTAAGGCAAAAGAACGACGGGGAATAGACAAATCTGTGTTTTCTTCAACACTTTGGGCTACAGCAGTAATATTCGCAGTTGTTCTCGAGCGACATGCTGATGTTTTATAATTCACCTCACCAATTTGTCCCGATAGCTTCATTTTACCCGACAAGGTGCTTTACGATGGCCGAATGTTTTAGTTTTACAAACCGTCTCTGGGAGGTTTCCACCATTTTTACAGGAAAATTTTTCATAATTTCGATGTGTAGTTGAAGTTGGTTGCGTTCCACTTTTATTACAAGCAGTTTTTACTTACTAAATGTCAAAAAATTACAGTCTCAAAATAACTTCTTTTATTGGAAAACCCTTTGTGAGTAGGGAAATTCCACTTTCAGCTGTTCTCACGTCTCGAGAGTCAACTCAAATTGCCTCTAGACACCTCAAAGTCAAGAAAAGGAACTAGAAAGCGGAGATTATCTAACTGAATTTAAGAAAAAGTATTTTCAATCATCTTTGGGTATATTCCAACTCGCATCAAGAACAATTGTTACTGCTTCATAAGGTCTAAGATTTCAAATCGGATCGCCTCTTAACAAAATATGGTGAAAATGAGTTCTGCACGGTGCTTACTGTAGAAATTAATAATAATCTTTTTATATTGTATTTCAAGTAGAATTGTGCAAAAACTGAGATCTAAGCTTATCCTGAGTTAACGTTTCAGTCGAATAATGGAAATTTTTCACATCCCAAAAAAAACTCGTTCTTACCCTGAAACCACTTTTTCTCTTCACTGTTAAATGAAATGTTGCGATATACAAAACATTTTTTTGGTATTCATTTTGAATATTTTCTATATTATCAAGATTTGAAAATTATTCTTTTTCCTCCTTTTCTAGTACCAATGAATAAAATACAAGTCGGTCATGCACCTTCACCCAATCTCAAAGCAGTGCGCTCCAAAATCGGTTCACTGGATAATGCTGGATACAAGCCGGGCGGTGGTCATGTGAAAATCGAGAGTAAGAAAATCGAAATAAAAGCCGCACCAAGAATTGAGGCGAAAAATGACAAGTATACGCCAAAGGGCGGCGAGAAGAAGGTAAGATCGGTCAGATGTCTGATTATTGTTTAATGCCAAAGAAGCTTTGAAAGATTTACTTTAAAAACATGTAATATATGTACACACATGTAAATGAAGAAAATCCAAATTTAAATCAATCAAATGTAAATTAAGTTCCGAACAAAAATATAAATGAAAAAACACAAAAGTAGCTTAGTGTGAAGTAACGCTTTTTGCAACAAAATCATGTAGTTTTTGAATACACTTCAAATGCAAATATTTCTGTAGGTACGTGTATATTTGAGAGTCTTCAACATTTGTCATTTAATTGATCGAGTTCGCTCACTTTTCAGTAATTTATTTATTTTATTCCATTTTTTTTTAATTTTTTTATCACTAATCGTACAAGCATTTTTTGTATATGCTTTGACAAAGCAATTTCACAGTTGATTAATTTTTTCGATTAATACTTGAAGATTTGAGGCATCATTGGACATACATACACATATGCACATACATGCATACAACATGAGTATTTTAACGGTCGATTTATTTTATGCATTACCCGCTGAACCATATAAGAAAGTGAAAAATTCGTATATTTTCTTGGCAAAAATTTTAAAAGAAAATATTAAAGCAACCAAAAAGTGTTCAATATTCGAAAATAACTTTTTTTTGGGAAATCAAAAATTATCATATCAAAAAAAAAAATGTATATTTTTACGTAGGCAATTTTATATTTCACACACTCTTTAAAACATATTTCAATTATATATATATGTATGTAATATTCACGAACAACACAGATAATTTCGACAAAACTACAATGGAATGCCAAATCGAAAATTGGCTCTTTGGAGAATGCCAATCATAAGCCCGGCGGTGGTGATAAGAAGATTGAAACGATTAAGACGGATTTCAAAGATAAGGCTAAACCGAAAGTCGGTTCAAAGGATAATGTTAAACATGCTCCGGGTGGTGGTGATATTAAGGTAAGGTGTGCGCCAAAAAAAACACACACATACACACAAAATTTATATATGAAAAAAAAAATGTTTAAATCTCAATCACAGTACAGTCAGGCGAAAAAATGCATAAGTAAAATTGTAATGATTTGGAAGCATGTTTAAATTATACATTTTTATATATATATATTCGTATTGAACTGGAATGCTATTTACATATATCGCTCTGTATATACTGACTTACTTAAGTATGTATGTTTATTCGTGTTTTATACTCAAGCCAACATTTCTTCCGTATTGAAGCATAATGTTTTGAAATTTGCATGCCCAAGGTGAATTGGCGCTGTATTGAAATGTGTTTGCATTTTGTTAAATAACTTCAACTTAACTGAGCTTTCGCTTAGCTATTAGTTTTGGTCGTTCTTAAGGATTGCGAGTATGCGATTTTGTTTTAAATTGTTTGAAAAAAAAAATAGAAGAGTTCAAAAAATTGGCTGTAAATAAAGAAGCTGTGTTGTACGTAGGTAGTAATACTTGTAAGCATATGTAGATTAGTAAGTTTATTCTAAACACTTAAAGCGTACATATATTTTTAAGTAGGTTAATAAATAAATTATTTTCATTTAAAGTTAAATTTATGAAAAGTTCTTAACATTTTACTGAAAACACTGATCAACCCAAAAAAACTCTTTATTTCCTGTTAATTCTTTATTTTTATCTGAAATGGAAATTTAAAAAATGGCAATAGCCTTCCGCTAACAGCTCTGGTATCTTACAGAGATGTTCGACTAACGAAACGATCTGTTTCTATTATGAAAAGTAAGCTTAACGAAATGAGATTGTCATTGTTGAAAAAAACACACTCAATGTTAACATTAATTTAAAAATGGCTATTTGCTATGATGTTGACAGCACACTTTAATGTTAACGATTTAACATTAACTGTTAACGATTTAACATTAATTGTTAACGATTTAGCATTAACTCTTCGGGTAAAGACGTTGAGATTTTCAAATGTTTCACCGAATCGATTGAAATTTTTTGATAAAAGTGAAATATGTATATATAATATTATATATATTTATTATATATATATATATATTCTTGTATATTTTTTAGCTATAGCTAAATACGTTTATTTAGGTTTTTCCCTTGTATTTTCCGTTCCAGCAGCTTGGACAATTTCTATTTTGAAAATCACCAGAAAAATACGGAATTTTTTTTTTTGCACATTTACATATCCCAACTAAAAGATGTTAAATCGCACGATCGTGGAGACCATACCACAGGTCCATGCGCGAGATAACGCGCTCATTTCGTTGGCTTCACGACTTGTAGCGCCATCTTGTTGTAAACAAAGGTCATCCACATCAACATCCTCCAAACCAGGCCTAGAACCTAAAGTGAACTTCGTTGCTGTGCAATGGAATGAATTTTCTAGTGAAAATCGGGATCGTTAGCCATCTTTCTTTCGGCCCATTCAATGAACGTGTGATACGCTTGTATTTTTTATACCCGCAAAATTTTCCCTTAAATGAATGAGCACAGCTCCAATTGTTGCACAAGATGGCGGATGACCTCATTCAGTTCTTCTTCGATACTCTGCACCACACCAGCAGTAGCATCTCCGGTGCGCACTCTGCGGCAACTCTGAGAGTGTGCATCATCCTCTAGAGTTAGCGGGTTGTGAAACCGATCCATGGTTCTGCAGGGCGATTTTGTTGACCGAATCGATTGAATTTCAACAGTCTGCAAATATTGTTCGGTAGTAAGCCTGTTCATGAAATTGCAAAAAAAATATCATAATAAAATCAGAAAAAATTTAAATAAACTAAGAAAATACTAGTGTTGGCCAGTGTAATCCGTGATTAAAAAAGTTACAATACTTGTTTATTTATACTCATTTAACGCCAAACAAAGAACATAACGAGAAAATTGAATATGAAAAAGAATCAACTGAAAATCATAATAAAAGCTACCAAATATAGGGTCTCAAGACCCTAGTGCCATTCTTAAACTTGAACATTTGCCGAAAGCATGAAAAAGTCGCCGGTTATTATGATCAGTCAAACCCAAAATCAAAAAGGTCACAATCTATTTGATAATTTCGTGAGTTTTCTTTAGGCTAATTTTAAATTTTGAGGTTATATAAATTACAAATATTTGTAGCCTCGCTGCCTGTCATATTTCACAGGAAACGTAACACGGTGTTGAAAGTGCGCACAACAAAACAAGAACAGGAAAAGATAACGCAATCGAAAAAAAAATCTGTTGCATTCTTCCCGACATTTAACCCTATGATTTTATAGTAGACTCAAAGACGATAGCATCTTTTGGTCGATAACCGTGCTCACTCGCCGTTTAAAGGCGGCATTTTGTGGCGGAAGACTATATTTCCCGATAACACCAAACGAGTTAAGGAAGAGTCAGAAATTTTGTGATAAATTCTGTCATAATATTGTCTAAGCATAATATCCTCATTTTAAATTCAGAAGCCCTAGGACAATATATGTACCTTCACCTAAATATTAATTAATTCAATACTAATTTTGCAAGCAAAATCATCTTCACTTTGAATGCTATGTTTATCGAGAAGAAAACTGCCGTATTTGGGGTCTGGAGCACCAACAAATCCGTGGAGGTCCCCACCTGTGAATGATGCGATTCAATAATTCAAATTTTGCGATAATTTGGAACACCCTTAGTATTTATAACTTATGGCAAAGTTATTTCAAAATATTAAAATTAATATATTTGGTTTCAGAGTAACCTCATTCAAAAATATTAGATATTATAGTCCAAAAAACTAAAAAAAATTTTTTTTACCATGAAAAGCAGAAGTCAGTGGATCGCAGTTAAAAAATCACTATAAGAGATAATATTATATGTATGTTGACAAAAACGTAAATTTATCGAATCCGTAAGATAGTCGCTAAATGATTAACTTATTTTTATTTATTACATATGTATAAATAAAAAGCATATATTTAGTTATAATTAATTATTTAAATAGTTAGATAGAAGCATAGAGGGGAACTTGCATGCTAAATAAGATACGCCTTTTGCAAAGATGGTATCGGAATATACCTATGTGATGTCTCGGCTAGTGACAGACGTAAAAAGAATCCAAGTTTAAGAGTTTATAGAAAATCACGTGAGTGGTATCCCATCCGCACTACGTCAGTTGCAGTGATGTTTGATTAGCATTCATCAAGACCAACTTTTTTTGACCCAAACATTGAGGTCTCGATTTCCTCAAAAGACCCGTCCATCGCAAAGGCAATCGCCACTTCGGAAGGTGAAGGATCTGGAAAATAAGGCGAGTGTAACAAGATCTCCCATTTCAGCATTTCCAAGTAGTTTTAACCGTTACAACGACGTGGAGACAAATCGCTGTTATGTTGCAAAATCAGCTTGCCCTGCCTTACGGTCGTTAGTTGTCGCATTAGTTGTCGTCGATAACGTTTCGCATCAATGCCTTTGCCTGTCTGTAACAGCTCAAAGTACACCACACACGCGTCTGGTCCCACCTTACCGTATAATTTCTAAGTATTTGAGTAGACCTGCTACCAACATTTTTTGATTAAAGTTAAGAAATGTCAAAAAAAAAACGTCAAAACATGCGAAAAAAGTATAAAAAATATTAAAAAAAAAAATAAATCAGTTACGCCGCGGTTTCTCGGAAATGAGTTTGTAAAATTTTCATGTAGAAGTAATATTTTGCAATCAAATTAAACGGGATATTGGTATAAACCAGATATGGTATTTAAATTTGATACTAAATATTTTTTAACATTTCTTTGTAATAATTACAATAAATAATAAATAAAACATCCATAATGTGATATTTTTAATAGGATTACATACTCGTACACTCAGATAAAGTATTTACTAAACAGAGTGCTTAAAAAATTATTATATAGTATATAAATACATATATACATATGCTACCCTTTAAGATATTTGCTTAGAGCTGGTAAATATTTTTAAAATAAAAATAATACTCTCGACATAATTGACTTTGAAGAACACCTTTGAGAACTTTAGTTTAGCTATATTTCTGATGAGAGGTGGCGGCGCTGTTTTCTATTTACATTTCAATCACTTAAACCTGATATCTTAACTACTTAAGAAATAGTTGCTGCTCTAAAATTTTACCAAAAACAAATTAAGTCCAAGTGCGACTCACAACTGAGTCAGTTATCATACACGATACTACTAGCTCAAGTGCTGGGCATCTAAACGGATAAATCAGTTATGATAATCCCGTAAAACTTTCACCACAGTTCAACTTATGCTAAGCTTATTAAGAAAGACTGATTGCCTAAATATGGGTCACCTTAATTTGCAACTAAGATTAGGTCTAGTAAAGTCATCCATTATTTAACACAGTTACTGTTTAGTTTTCCGAAACGATAAGCCAGCAATTAAAATGTATGGCCATAAATTCATATGCTGTATGACATTTATAGGCCAGGCAATAAAAATTAAAGTACAAACAGATGTCCATATACACATACTCATGATATGAATATTGATACTTGATGCCTTTACAACAACATAAGCATCTATGTATACTGATGTTCTTATCATGAATATGTAAA